AGGACGCAGAGGAAAAAAAGGGGGGGGGGGGGGGATCTACACGCAGAGGAACAGAGGAAGAGACGGAGCATTACAGAAACACGCTGCTGCCAGGAGGGACAGCAGAATCCTTCAGACTGCTGGAATATAATCATTATAAGAGAAGGATGGGAGCGGAGGCGGAGAGGAGGGGGCTGCCCGGGAAATGTCTGTGTGACATATATGCAAATCAGACACATGTGGTCCGAGGGCCAGATGTATGACAGCAGATATTACAACCCATACTGTTCATATGCACATTCCACTCTGACACAAAGACACGTATGATGTATGTATGAAAAGCACATGGAGAGTTCTGTATGCGGTACAATTTTCATCATATATGTTTTCAAAGTGTATCCAAACCCAAGAACACTATATATATAATATAAATTCGGCGTACCTGTCCGGAGATGTGGTGGATGCATTTATTTTCTTTATTTCCCTTTTTTATTTTACACCTGGTGATCCTGCCAGTAACAAGTTACTGCCCTAGGGCTAATGCCTGCACTTGGACGCACACTGGGTGTCTGCACGGGCGCATGCACTGTATGCATGTGCAAGCCCATGTGTATGACCCCTTAAAGGCTGCATTATTTTCTATTTTTAGGCTTTTTCCTCTTTTTTTTCTCTCCCGGTGATCTTGCCAGTAACAAGTTTTCTGCCCTAGGGCTCATGGCCACACTTGGACGCACACTGGGTGTCTGCACGGGCATGTGCAATGTACGCATGTGCATGCCCATGTGAATGACCCATTAGTGGCTCCGTTATTTTCTATTTGGGGCTTTTTCCCCTTTTTTCTCCTGGTGATCCTGCCAGTAATACATTTTCTGCCCTAGGGCCATGCCCACACTTGGATGCACACTGGGTGTCTGCACGGGCGTGTGCACTGTACGCACTTGCACGGCCATGTATATGACCCCTTAGTGGCTGCATTATTTTCTATTTGTAGGCTTTTTCCCATATTTTTCTCCCGGTGATCCTGCCAGTAACATGTTTTCTGCCCTGGGGCTCATGCACACAGATGTATGGAAATGCTCCCACATAGGCTGGATCTTTCTTGCAGAAGCTGGCAGAAAAATTCAACATAAACACTTGCGTGCATACGGTATTTAAAAGCGTATGTGCATACATTTGTTTTTACACACCAGGACACGCATGTTTTACGCTGCATTTACGCTGGCAGGATCACCGGGTGAAACAAAAAAAAGGGAGAGAGCCAAAATAATAATAACAATGCAGACAATGCAGTCATTAGGGGTCTTCCACATGGGCATACACATGCGTACGGTGTGCGCGCCTGCGCAGAGAGCCAGTGAGCATCCAAGTGTGGGCACCCGGACCCGCACAGATGTGCAGGTTCAGGTTTGCATGTAATCACGTGCAGCCGCATCCTCCCATAGGGAGGTACAGGCGGCTGTATGCAATTACACGCAGCACTTGTCCCTCCCGGGAGCAGGTCTCTGCATGGGTATGCGCGCCAGATGGACGTGCATGCCCATGTGAATAAGCCCTATATCTAAGGACTGGTAAGTGGACACATTATTCTGGCATGTGTATGTGCATTTACATGCATCCAGCTTTATTGGCTAGGATACTGTATATGATTCATTTATTCTAGTGGCTAGAATGAATATATACGCATATGCAAGCACAATGACATGCACTTACATGTGAATATGTGTAAATTAGGCTGCTTTTCCCCGCAGCATCTTGTCTATTTTTTTATTTGGCACGGTTGTGTTTGGCTCCGCCCACATAGACCATCATTCATTTGCAGATCCATTCGCAGGATCTGTATATGAAAATCCTACAAGTCCCATCTGCCACCACGTAGACCTTAGTGGACTACAAGGGCGTCCAATGATAACTTCGTCCCATCCTGCAACGGAAAGCCTGTGCCTAGACCAGGGTTGGGCAACTCCAGCCCTCCAGCTGTTGTGGAACTACAACTCCCATGAGGCATTGCAAGACTGACAGTTACAGGCATGACTCCCAGAGGCATGTTGGGATTTGCAGTTAGAGCATAGCTGGAGAGCCAGAGTTGCCCACCTCTGGGCTAGAGGAAGAGTCTGCAGGAGCCTATGTGTTGCAAGTGCGATCTCCTGATCACGATTAGGGATGGTCCGCCGGTTCGAATCGAACATCGGCCATTCGAGCGTTCGCCGAACGCTGAACTTTATGGGATGTTCGCGGTCTGTTCGACCGCACAACGTCCCATACTGCAAAGAGCCCTCCAAAGCTCTAATTGGTTAAAGACTTGCACCTGACCACAGGTCAGGTGCAAGACTTTGCCCAATCAGAGCTCAGTGCTCATTTGGAGCCATGATTGGGCAAAGTCATGATGACTCTGCCCAATCATGTATCGCCTATCAGATGCAGGCAAACTACACAATTGGGCAGAGCTAGCTGTCACCGCTAGCTCCGCCCAATTGTTTATGTTTGCCGGCATCTGTCAAAATGCCATTATGCGGCGGGAGTCGGTGGGGAGCGGACGGGACGGCGGCCGGAGGTTTTTTTGTTTAATTATTATTTCTATTTATTTTTTATTGTTTTATTTTTTATTTCGTCGCCGTGGACAACGCTGGACGCCGTGATTGACCCTGGATTACGTCGGGGGAACCATTTTTGGGTTTTTAATTTTTTTAAATAAAGGATTTTATCAAAAGTCTAATAACTATTTTATTTAACCCTTTGGTGAATGGGTAGTACCCCTTACTCATTCACAAGGGGGGGCGGCATCTGGGTGGCCCCTTAATTAAAGGGGTACCCTGATGCAAATAAGCCCCCTTGCCCGCAGTCCCCCACAACCACCGGGTCAGGGTTGTGGGGGAAGAGGCCCTTCTCCCCATCGGCATGGGGACACCCTCCCAGTGCCTTGGGCATGTGGCCTGGTGTGGGAGGGAAGGGGGGGCGGGCGCTCGCTCGCTCGTCCCCCCCTCCCCTTTCTGGCCCTGCCAGGCTTATGCTCGGATCAAGGGTCTGGTATTGAATTTTAGGGGGGACCCCACGTTTCCCCCCCCCCCCCATTTTGGGGGGTGGGGTTCCTCCTTAAAATTCCTACCAGACCTTAAGGGCCTGGTATGATTTTAAGGGGGAACCCCACACACTTTTTTTTACAAAAATTGGTCCCTCCTCACTCTTCCTACCAGACCTTAAGGGTCTGGTATGACTTTTAGGGGGAACCCTACGCTTTTTTTTTTAACAAAAATTCGTCCCTCCTAACGTTCCTACCAGACCTATAGGGTCTGGTATTGTTTGGGAGAGGGAACTGCACACTTTAAGAGTAAAATGTAATCTTCAGAAATGTCAGTTTTGGTGCAGCAGGTTCTATACATCCTACAGATCTACTGAGCCGACCTGTGACAGTCTCATTGTCACAGGTCGGCTAGAACTATAAGGTGAGTGAAAAGCACTCACCTCATAGTTCTCCTTTAAGATTGAGCACTTGAAACGCGTCAGCAGGGATGCTCGCTACACACAGCGGCTGCATGCTAAGAGGTTCTAGTACAGGGATTTGCTCCATGCAGCGAGGGTGGAGCAGATCTCTTCTCGGATATTATTCCATACGACACAATGTGTTTGTAAAGAAGGTTTGTGAGTACCAGTCCTTCCTATTTTTAATAAAGGTTGGATAGAGGTGTCACATGACACACGTGCGCTCGCTCTCCCTCCTATAGCGTGTAATAAAAGATTCCTGGCAGCAAAGCCGAGGATTCTGTGTATTACAATCACCACAACGAAACAGAAGATTTATCTGGAAAGACACATTACAAAGTTTCCCCGCAGCAACATTGTATCATATTTTTTTCCGCTTGAGCGATGTTTGTATCTAATTCCAGAGAGAACTTATGTAATGGCGGATCAAAAATCCCAACAAATCCCTACACATACTCCCGATCACTAAAATCTCAAATATACAATTGAGGTTGGATTTACACTGCTTTGTGTGCATGCAGCATGTCTGGTAATGTACATGAGTGTGTGTGAATGAGCACATAGGAGTCTATTGATAAAAAATTTGCAGAGCCATTCGCCTTGTGAATCTCTGCAAAAGTTTGTTCCGTGCGAATAAAGACAAAAAGGATGTAATACCTAATTATGGCCACTAGATGGCGCTGGTGAGCACAGAAGATAAGTATTTCTTTTTTATGTTCTCCAGCTCCATCTACTGGCCATAATAACCGTCCTTTCAATTCTTCCATTAAATCATCCCAAACAGTTGTTACCTTTTGTATCACTTGCCCCTCCTACTAGATTGTATGCTCTTATGAGCTGGGCTCGCCTACCTCTTGTACTGAAATTGTATTGTTAATTGTATTGTCTCCCTCAATTTGGTAAAGCGCTGTGCCAACTGTTGGCGCTGTATAAATCCTGTATAATAATAACAATAATCCCTGGTAGAGATGTTGCTAATAACACCACTAAAACAATTCATCTCATTTCATATGTCCACCCAGGGCCGGATTTACTCTCTCTGCTGCACCACGGCCAGGTTCCTCAATGCACCCCCCAACCACCCCACCCCATGGAGAATGGCAGACCTGCAGGCTGCATACAAGTGAACTCGGCGACATCACTTGTGCGGCTTCCCCGCTGTACATTTAGCTCT